GAAGAGCCAGAGCATCCTGCACACTTAGTCACCCTGCTGCTGGGTCATCATGTCCTCTTTGTGGACTCTCTCGGTCTTTTATCTTTGCCTTTGCCTTTGAGACTCTTTGTCATCTCTCAGACAAAGCAAAGCAGGGTGTTTTAGTCTGTTGCTCCCCACACCTGTGCTGGGCTTACCTGAGTGCATGTTCTCTGAAGCTGTGGTCTCTTGGAGTCATTTATGCTCAGTCTTGCTTTTCATAGTATGAGCCCCATCAAAAATACTTATATTTACATACTAAATCTGGAGATAATTTTCACAGTTCAAGACCCTGAGATTAGCTCAGTTTGTTAGAGTACAGTGCTAATAACACCAAGGTCGTGAGTTTGATCCCCATACGGACCATTCACTTATGAGTCGGAGTCACTGATCCTTGTCAGTGTCAGACTGTTCTGTTATTCTAGATGTTAGTTCCAGATGTCATCACAAGATTTCAGTGAGGGCATCACTTGAACAAAAACGAAGGATTGTTTAAGATTCTCCATTTTCTTTGTTTTAATTATCCAGGATATAAAATTGTAGCATTTGAAACAATATTTACAATAAGGATTTTGAAAGTAACTTTTCCATGTTGCAAATATGGCAGTTGAAATTTCTACTACAAAGAGTGTTTTTTTTAATTGTTTTTATTGATGGTTAGTCAATTGATTCACTGTGGCCTGAGGACTTTATTTTACAGTAGAGGAAATCTAAACATTGTCAGCATCAGGCTGCATTAGTGACACACAGAAGAGTTGCCTGGACTATGCAAGTTTGAAACCTAGTTAGGAAGCTTAACTAAGTCAAGTTTAGTTAGGAAAGTAAAGCTGGAAGAGGTGATGTGGTTTGGGTTATTTGACTCGGGCAGAACCAGGTTCTTTGTGCAAGGTATTATCTGTCTGAAAGATCTTCAGTGGAGGAGATTCTGCACCCTCAGTAGGTAGTGTCTGCTAGATTTCAATGCACTTATAGAATCATAGAATGGCTTGGGTTGGAAGGCACCTTTAAGATCATCTTGTTCCAACCCCCTTGTCCTGGGCAGGGAACCTTCCTGTACACCAGGTAGCTCAGAGACTCATTCAGCCTGATCTTAAACACCTCCAAGGATGGGGAGTCCACAACATCTCTGGGCAACTTGTTCCGGTGTCTCACCATCTTCACAGTAAAGAATTTCTTCCTAATTTTATTCCAAACCTGCTCTCCTTCAGCTTAAGGCCATTCCTCCTTGTCATGTCTCTCTACCTGACCACGTGAAATGTCCCTCTCCAGCATTCTTGTAAGACCCTTATCATTAGGAGTTATCTATATGCTGTCGAACTTCTAGGCAGGAAACCTGATTGTAATTAAATTCTACTTTAATAGCACCAGCAGACTTTTTATTTGTCACTGAAGAGAGCTCACGAGAAGAAATTTGACTTACACCCATTAAAATGTCTGTTGTTTTTCCCACTGTGTGCTGTTTTGTTTTTTGCTCTTAAAAAAATACTTCACAAATATTGTTTCAAAGAATGAATTGTAGTGGAATATTTGGCTTTAAACAATGGTATTGCTAGAACAGGCACCTCAAAAGCTTGTTGGAGAGAAGATAATTGAGGGAATACTTAGCAGTATCATTCTGTGATGCAAACTATATAAGGTTGCCGAGGCAGGCTGTACTAAGGAAAAAACATTCAAGTGAAGCAAGAAGAATTTGGTGGAAATCTGAATATTTGCTCAGAAGTATTTTGCCTAAGTAGGAAAAGTATGATATCTATACTACTGATGACACAACTAAAGTGGGGACAATGAACATGGTACAGAATAGTAAGGGAAATAAGACATATTCTGGAAGCAGAAGACAAATATTAAGATGAGCCAGGGAAAAACAAACAAACAAAACTCAAGACAAAACAAAAAACAAAACTAAACCCCAAAACTAACCAACCAACCAAACAAAAAATCCCACACAAACTTAAAACAACAAAACAAAAACAACTCACACAATTTTTTTAGATATCATCAATGAAGGAGCCATAAAGAAGATAATCAGAAAGTCTACAAGAGGAGAAGCCCTTGACTGGTATACTTTCAAGCATTGCACAGGATCTGGTTCATGATGCATAACTGAAGGTTGGACCCACTTTATCATAGCAACCATCTCTGTAGGAAAGACAGAAAGAAAACAGTCTGACATGGGCATTTTTTTAAAAAAAAACAGGATCTGAATAAAAAAAAGAGGACATCTTGAAAGATTACCAATAACAGTGAAGGGAAGAAAAACAGTGGAAGGAACCATTAAGAATATTTAATGAGACCCAAATGGTGATTCAGAACCTATATACACTCTTATAATTAGGATTTCACAAAGACCAAACACATGCAGAAAAACAACTCAGATTGCAAAATAAAGATACTGGATGTCAAAAAGCAACCTTCAAAAAGCACAAGTAATTATAAAAGGCAATGAATTCGGTATGCAATTTATGTATATAAACACAATGTTACAAACCAGAAAAGACTTCCAGAAACAATTTGCTAAATCCTATAAAAAGTAACAAAATTTTTAAAACATCTAAAGAAGAATGTTTCCCAGAGTCAGTGAGACCAGTGGAAGATTCCGAGAGCGTAGTGGAGCTCAAAAATTTTGCACAGAAAATAGCCATTGTAATTTGAGGCAAATTTCCTAACTAAGCTAGTTGAAATGGGACTTGTAATTTTCCAGGAGTTCAGCTTTCTTAACACTGCATCAACTTAAATAAATACAATTGCTGCTTTGGAAATTCAGAATCTCTACCCTTACAGATTGCAATTACCTAATCTTTTTACAAATAGCCATTACCTTTCAAGGTGATAATTTCAAAATGCAACGTTACAAGAAGATATAAGAGTGTTGGAGATACTAAAGGTCTATGATTCCTCAGAAACTTGACAGAATTAATGCAGTGGGAATGATAGGACTGAATTTAAATTTGTTTTCACCATTTTCAACTATTTAAATGTAAACAAGAATGTACATGTGTGCACATAGGCCCACACATTTCTCCTTATAGTTCCTTCTACTTCATTTCCAAGAAGACTTAATGTAAACCTCAGCTGGATAAAACTAATCAAAGTATCTGTTTCCTCAAAACTTTATTTGCACATACTACTTCTAATTTTTCTTTTTCTAAGCATCCAGTAAGTAATACCAGAAGTCTAAAAAAAAATTCTATCTGTTGTAATAGGATTCAAGGGTCAATAAAAATAAAAACAGTAATAGCATTCCTTGAAAAAGACAGCTAATTACAGTTCTGTGAAGAAGAACAAGACTGTAAAATAAGTACCTGCTTCATTAGCACTCTCATTTCACATCTATCATGCAGAGTCCTTATACAGCTAAGCAAGAGTACTTTAACCTAAATTGGTTGACATTTATTGGCAAAGACCCTGCTTTAATGCCAGCTCCCTCCCCAGAGCTATTTCTAACCCTTGCTTATATGTTTTCTCTGCCTTCATTCTATTTCCTTCTACAGGTTTACAATGTGGGATAAAAGCTCTTTAGTCTGGTATTGTTTAGCATTGTAATCTGACCTTAACTTTGATGAGCTAGAACAAACAGACATAATCCTCAGAATACAGGCAGGAGGCAGAAATCTATTTTAAAAATCATCAGGACTAGGTTTTTGCTCTCAGGAAGGACTCTGGTTGCTCACACGTCACTATCAAAAGTAAAATGAGACACATGGAGAGATTATCATCCCTGCTCTTTTTTCCAAATGCTGCTGTGACACCAAAACCTAAAGACTGCAGGCCCTAGAACCTGTGTGAGCCATCCCAGATCAACCATTCCTCTCCCAGACTGTTTCTGCAGGTTGGGAGCTCATGTGTAAGAACATCTCTTAACAGAAGGTCGGTTGTGCTCAGAGATGGACTGTGTGGAGAACGCAGAGGTCAAAATGTAAGGACATGCCAAGTATGGAGCTAGGGTGAGGAGATTCATAGTTCATCCAATCTGTATACCAAGTGGCACAAAAATTTGCAATACTAATGCTCACAAATATTACATATATGCTCAAATTAGGAAATCATGTTTAAAGATAACCCTCCCTCCCCAAATAATCCACTTTTGTTTTTCATTTAGTTTCCAATTTCAAAGTTATAGGTTTTACATCCTGCAGAATTTTTCTGTAGTCACAGAAGATAGAAACTTGTTTATGCAACTCATAAATGCAAGCTGAGACTCCTACATAATTACAGGTCTCCAAACAATATGCATACAGGAGCTGGCAAGTCCACGCTGGTTAATCAGTTTTAAGATGGAGCAGCCTTTGAAACAAGCAGAGAATCTCATTACCCAGCTGCATAAATCCATGGTTCAGTCACATCTTGAACTGTTGTGTGCAGTTTTCATCCTGTGATCTCAGAAAAAGAGGGTATAACTGGGAAAGATTGAGAGTAGTGTGATAGACATACTCAAAAATATACTAGTCAAAATAGTATATTCAAAATATTAAAAAATTGGAACTATTCTTGAAAATACAGGACAGTTACTGAGTAAACATTAGCTTAGCAAAGAGACAAGTTGGACTGAGAAGTAGGGAGAAGTATCACATTAAAAGAAATGCACAGAGTTACATTGGGAATGACTGCTCACAGTCTCTGCCAAAGCAGAACTACAGGATATCAGAAGTGAGCAGATGGCAGACTCAGAGCAAATGAAAGAAATTGATTTTTCACATTGTGCAGGTAAACTACAGGTTTTTTCAGATGCAAAACATCTATGTGAGTTCAAAAGATGCATGAAAAAAAATCAAAAGGAAAAAAACCCTCAGGGCCATTAATTACGAAGACACCATCTCAGACTCAAGGAGCCCTTGGAGCTAGAAAAATATTCTAAGGAAACATCATTATGTTTTTGACCTTTTCTTTTTCTCTTCTCTAAGCATCTGCTTTCGTGTGCGTAGTGACAGGATACTAGGAAAAATGGATATATCCATCCCATGCTCTGAATCCAAAATCTTTAGTTTGTGTTTCAGAACCGCCAAGAATCATGAAAATTAGATGTAATCAAATGCCCCTCAAGATTTTTTCCCCTGCAGGAACAGAGGAAACAACTGCAGAAGGTATGATGTGGATTCTGATTAAGTTTTTCCCAAATATTTCTATGAAAATAAAAAAATTACCTCCGGGGATCTGAGTCTTTTTTCCCCCAGGAAGCTCCGAGCATTGCTAAGGGACCTTTAAGTGCTAGGGTATGCTCAAGTGTAAAGGATATGTGAGATGTAAAGCTGCTTTGAAGTATTAGGTCACTAATCCTTTGCACCTATGATAGTGTGTTTCTTCTGAGTGTCAGAGACTTCCTTGTTTACAAGGGCACTGCTAATTCCAGCACAAACCTTGTGTGAGTTTGCTTTAAGCTATGCCATGAGTCCTGCATGGGTCCCAAACTAACTCACACAAGCATAAGCATAGCTCACCTCCTCCTGCCTCTGGGTGGGAATCACACCTCTGCCTTGGAGCAAATGATTTTGTGAACTGAAAAGTTTCTCCCACGATGCTAGGAGGCAAGCTACCCTTTCACAGTCTGGTCCAGGCATCCAGCTTTTGCTTCTGGTTTTGCAAGGCAAAGGAGACCAGAGCATTTGTATGAGGGAGAAAGAAGGCTGTGAAGAGTGGATCTATATGCCAGCATGGATAAAAGGAATAACAAGGTCTGACTCTGGAGAAGTGGGCTGTGGGGTCAGCTGTAGAGGTGAAGCATGTGTTTGGAGAAATTAGCAGTTATGAATGAAGAGTGACACTAAGACACACTTCACACTGAGAGGTGTAAAGTTAAGAAGTAGCATAAAATTTCTCATTTCTCCATTTAATCAAAAGACTGCTTCATAACGTTAAGAAAGCAATCAACCTACAAATGATGTCTCTGAAGGAATAGCTAAACATTATTCACAATAAAAAGTTCATCTTCTGTGAAAGATTGAAATAGTAATCAATTGGCACACCAATATCTCTGCTGATATTTGTAAAGGGGAGTTACAGAATTAAGGCAATATATAGTATATCTGACATGAAAGTTGGCTGTTGTCTCAAAATATGTAACCTCTGGCTGGGATGAGTAGGTAGATAACCTAGTGCTTAGCAGGCATCTCTATTCCAATGCTTCCTCCATTACTTTGCAATGCACCATTTTGCTTTCAGTCCTCAGATACATATTGCTTCATCTAAAATTAAGTTCCCTGATTGTCTCAGTGGGTATCTTAGGCAATATTTGAAGTAATTATGTCACTTCAAAAGCAGCATAGGAAAACAATATTGTTCCATTTTATTTCTCTTCACAGCTGTCCAACCAACATTAAAATAAATCAGAAGTGCATTACGTTCAGAGCAACAACATGAATATAAAATCTCTCCAGCACAGCAGAAGCCATCAAACAATTAGCAGGTGTCCTTATGACTAAACAAATATATTTTGCACTTCTGGATCAACCCAATGGGAATTAACACCACTGAGAGAAAAAAAATACTAATCTTTAACGGTGTTAACAAGTCATATAGTACAGATTATCCCATAATTACTTCAGTAGTTATTTTACAGAAGATATGTGCATTTCTAAAATTTAGCACTTCCATGTAATCCTGCTTGGCCTGAATGGAAAATCATTTCATACCTTCTTTGTTTTTTTTTTTACTTTATCATCTTTGTTGCTTTGGTGTCCTCTGTCATGCTCCAGGAAGATGCTTGCTTAACATAAAATCTGGAAATCATAGTTAGGTCAAATTAAATACAAAGATAAAGTGTGTAGGTATGCAAGTATTTAAGAAGTGAATATTGGTTGTTATAATAAATGGTGCCACAAGCTGAGCTACAGAACACATTTCTTGGGGAAATATTTTTTCCCCTTCATATATTATGCCTTCATATTCCCATGATACCACTTCTGAGACTGGGGAAACCACAGTTAGCACAGTCTGCAAAACTGAGATGTAGGTAAATACAGAAATATATAAAAGGCAAATAATGATATTACTGATCAGTGATGTCACACTGGACTTATGACAAATGAGAGAGGTACCACCATCAAAGGTGTGACTGGAGCCTCAGCCCAGCATACTGCTAAAGCTAAATTTAACAAAATGAATGAGTTTCAGAATCAAGTGTCAGTGGATCATGGTTTACCTATGAGAAAGTTAATCAAATGAAATTAAACTCAATGAAATTAGAAGGTATTTAATTTGTGTCTCATTCAGAACATCTAAGTAGTATTTTTACTGTAAGATAAGACTGTAAGATCAAGATGTGGTCATGAATACATTCGCATTTTATCCATCAATGTTTTTAATGGTTTTTTTGTGCTTAATTCTTGTACATTGTTAATAAAGTAAAAACAAAAATTACCTATTTATTTCCTATTGTGTCTATTGCTTTGTTTTTAGTGGCAGCTCTATAAGCAAATAAACACTCCAGAGAGTTGCTCATGATGGAAGTTGGACTTCAAAGATACAAATTGAAGCCTTCAGAGCCAGTTTAATATGCATAATGTGGTCTGATGAAAAATAGTATAGCTATGCTGTGGTGACCAGCACTGCTTAGCATTCATTTGGATTTCAAGCTGCAATGGAGGAATGGTGCAACATTTGGATACACAACATTCATCAACACAATGAATAAAATGTAAGCACCTTCTCTTTTTTCTGTGATCGTGAAGGAACAAAAAGTCCAAATCTTATTACAGAAGTAAAATCAAAGACAATTTTCTCACAAGATGGGTTGTTATTCACAAAGCATTTTCAGGAGTCAGCTGAGAGGTGAGAACAGTTGTTCTAATTTTTCTTCCCTGTTGCAATGGGCAGGGCACTTCTGTGCTCTTTTTCCCTGTTTGTAAAATAAGGATAGAGCAATAATGAGTTCTTCGGTTTTATGATTCTCTTAATGTTTGCATAGCACTTTAAAGTATCAGGAGTAACATAGAAATAATAACTACTGGACATATAGCAAACACAAATACTTCTATTTCCAGCATTTTACCTTTTATTTGTTCAATATTTTATTGAAATATAACTTGTGATTTTTATGTAATGAGAAATAGATTACTAGGTAGCATACTAAGCAAAAATTTGGTGCGGAACACTCTAAAACAATAATTCCATCCCAGAAGAAACTAAGATATTTACAAGATCTTTTTACAATAAAAATGAACCATTAAAAATTTGGCAGGGATTCTCTGAGCATAATTGCAGTTGTGCTTGTTTCAAAATGCCTGTTAAATCTTATTCACCAGGACTGTAACACTAACATGCCTCTGCCTATGAGAAAATAATTTAAACTATTTTAAATTGAAAATTTAGAGCTGTTATAATTAATTGTGAATCATTAGAAATGGATGAATTAAAAAATAAATAAAACCACAACAAAACAAACCAAGATTGTTTATAACATAACAGATCATTAGCAAACTGCTGTAGAATCCAAAGATTTGACAGAGAAAAAGATATATCACAGGCATAATCATCTTTTATATAAAAACCTTAAATTTTCTGTCATATCCTCCAGCACTGACTCTCCCCTGGGGTTTAGTGCAACCCATCCCCACCTGGGTTTTGTAACTCTCAGTAAATCTTTATGAGTGTCACCTACGCTTGGACCACAGAAGAGTTCCAACACACTTGCTGCCCACTGATTTGGTTTGTCAGGAGGAGTGATGGGGATTCTGTTTGGGAGGGAGAGTGATGAAGGTGTACATACTATAGGTATCCCTGTCTGTTCAAACCTCCTTTTTATGATCAAGTAGTTTTTAAGATTAAATATGGGTTTTTCTCTGTGTTTTAAGCTTGATAAGCAGGCTTAGCAAGTGTCACAGCATTCTCATGGACTTATGTGCCTGGATAGGTACCCTCAGAGAGGATTTTATGTCTGTCCTAGGCTCACAAGGGTAGCAGTGTGACAATTAGAAAAGGGCATACCAAAAAATGTTAAAAGGTTTTCTGCTACGTAATGGCCATTTTTTTTTCTGTCTCCAATGTATTACAACTGTATGCTCCTATCTTCTTGGTATTAATTTGATAACAAATAACTCACTTATACTGGTGTTTTGTATGATCTTCTCCTAAACCCCCTCCCCACATTATAATTTTGCACATACACACCTTTAAGACAAAATTTTCTGTTGAGGTTCCCATCAGCTAAAAAATTATTAGAACAGCCTCAGCTATCTTCTCTCATGTCACTGGAATTAACACAAGAAAAAAGAAAGAATATCAAAATATATGCATGGGATTCTATCAGACAAATGTTACCCTTGAAAAGCTTGAGTAATCAGCATTGATAACAGAGGAATGTAAGATCAGATCTGGTCAAAAAGGACCTCAGTCATACTGTCTATGTACCTTGAAATCAGACACGTTCATAGAGCCTAATGAATCCGAACCTACATATTTAGTAGAAATCAACTGACATACAGGCTTCTTGGCTAGTTTTACAGTCGTGTATTCATTCAGCACAATCTCATTATACTGGAAGACTGTGGAATGTGGAAAAATGTGGGAATCATTCTGCCAGAACAAACGACTGCCTTACATTCTGCATCTCATTGTTGGAAGTCACTTCCAACAGGAGTTTTACATAACAGTTCCTGTTATGTAAAAAGCAGCTCCAGCATTGGTTGGGAATAGCCTCTGTGCTGGAACAGCAGGGTTTATGGCTGCTTTGTTCATAATACAATTTCTGCAATTTAAAAGAGAGCAATAGACCAAAGAGGAGAATACAGTCAAACTGTGGCCAACGGAAGTGAATAAACTCTGTCTAAATGGTAATTTAGAGACACCTTAGCGTTGACTTTAAATGTGCTTTAGAAAGTGCTTTTCATAAGGAAGATATGTGATTAAATTAAATTCCTCTCCAACAATAGTTTACAGCTACCTATTATAAGCTTGTGAAAAGTGTCAGTGGAGATACCGAACACATCTCTTGCCAATTTGAACTTCTCTTAAAAATTAAAATTTCTATACATTTGCACAGTATTATTCTGTTTCTGTCTAGTGGCACTTTCTATTCTATTCTAGAGTAACTTTAATTACTATATCTATAATTTCAGCCACATCCTAATTTACCATATTGATTGTCCATTCAGCAGTGAAGTTGGTTGATTATTTATTTTTATAGTAATAGTGTCCAAAACAGTTAATGTTCAGCTGACTGCACAATTTCCTCACTAGACTGGTTACGGTTTCAAGTTGCACTGTGTAAATCTGGAAGTCTGTACAGTGAGAGAGAAAACCAGATTCTATGTTCATTCTCCTGCTTGGAAAAATATGCTATTTTTGATTGCATGGGAACTCAGAGTCATGATCCTTGCATGGCCATTTAAAGTCTGGGAAGAGAGGTCTGCGCATGGATTTGTGAGTCCCCAGCAAACACAATCACTCTTAAGCAAATTGTAGAAAAGCTGTCAAGTTTGGGGATTAAAACTGCTTGTTACTGATGGCTTGGAAGGAAGACCATGCCTGTGAGAGACATGAGCTGCTGTGGGTTTATTCTGCCATTTCTACCTGCCCCAAGCTTGTCACTTGCCTCTCCCGCTCTCTGGCCTTAGCTCTGCTCTGCAGCTCCCAGCCCAGGAATATCAAAGGAAGCAGATGACCACAAGCAAAGGGGATGTAGAGGTTGTTTCAGCACCCCACAGGCTGAGCAGGCTCCCCACAAGCAGGGCAGCATGGGCTGTAGTGACTTGCTCAGGAACAGACTGACTACCCATTCTGCCATGATCTTGGTTCTAGGAGGTATTATTTCCTTCCCTTACACCCAGACCCTTAACAAATCTGGCTCCCTCTTTCACCACAGAATGAACACATCTTTCAAGGCACCATGAAGGAAGAGACACGCTTTTCTGGGCTGGATGATCATCAATATCTCCAGCTTTCTGGATATCAACAGGAACCCAGGCATTTTGGTTATTATGAAAAGTGTGAGTGTATTTGTCTCAGGACTGTAGTGCCAACATCCATCAAACAATTATTTGATTTTCAGGTGGGTTTTTTATGTGTCCCAATGCTGCATTTCTCATCTGTGAAGGTTCTCTATAAATATCATAAAAGCTTGGGCATGAGAAAGTCAAAGAGCCTACTACCTGACTAACACGAGAGAAGTGACCTGGGCATTCCCTTCATCCTGTTGCAAGAAATGCCTGAAGGAAGAAATTATTACATTCTGTAGATGGAGATGTCTTTTTGTTGAACAGCTGCAGGCACAAGTTTTTAGTACACAGCTAATAATCACCATCCTCCTTCCAACTTGACCAGATGAAATTTAAAGCTACTGTCATTCCAACTCCACTCCTTCCCTCCTTCTCTACTAAGAAAGGAAGGATGTCCCACCGTTACTTATGAACCCACAGGGGCACCCGATGGGCTCACTGGGCTATTTGGACACACACTGTTGGGCCCTGACAGGTAAAATATTTCTATTTTAGATTACTATATATAGTCTTTGAAACTGTCCACAAATGTCAGGTACCAGCATGTGCACATGCCTCCTGATACAGCCACACATGGAGAAAAAGTCTTTTAGTGAAAATGTCAGCAAGTCTGACATGGAGGAACAGGAGAGACATTTACTACTGTTCTTTTAGTAAAGATAGAAAAAAGATTTTGGGAGAGTGAAAATTAGTGATGTGGGACATGAATGTATAAATGAAAGACAAATTTTAAAAGCATCTACAAAATGTTCTAGTCCGTGGGAAGTGAGGCCTAATTTGGATTTTAAAGGGATAAATACATTTAAAATTTAAAGCTCGAGTGTCCTGTTTTTTAGAAAATGGTCTGTCTGCTTAGCAACATCTAAATAATCTATGACACGTCTCCACACGATGGGATGTCCTGACATATCAATTGAGAATTACATGGCAAAAAAAAGGTCAGTGGATCACAGCATTTAAAAGGAAATAATGAACTTGCTACCACAGATAAATCAGAAAGAAGTCCCTCATTCAGAAACAGGGTTGATAGCTAAAAAACATGTGTTCCTTACTTTACAGGTAGAACTTTTTAGAGCTCTTCATCAAGAATATGATGTGGGGTAAGTAATGGCCATTAAACAACAGACATTTTGCCCAAAAATACTACCCTAGGATGAAATGAAGATCCATTCATTGTTTTGGAAGGTGCGAAAAATATGAGCAGAAAGGCAGAGTAAAGGCAGCTAAGGTGATTGCCCCTGAGCCACCCTGCTGCCACATCCCTGAAACTACAAGGGAGTCCTGAGATTTTATGTTTATTTGAAGGGAGAGACAACTTCTTCCTGCCAGTTGGAATACGGGTATGACTGGGAGCAATTCTGATGTGCTTGCTAGGAAAGCTGACTATGCTCCCCTTCAACAGGTGTGGATGCCCACCAAGACTTCTTTATCCCTGACAATACTCAAAACATCTGTGCAGGTCTGTTTGTTGGATAAAAAAAATTTCATCCTTGTACCTGTCCTTTGTGGAACTATTCTTCCAGCATTTGTCAGAATAAGAGGGATTGCAGAAAAACCCTGCAGAAATTGTTTAGCCTCAGACACTTGCAAAAATAACAATGCAGATCAATAAACTTCATATCCTTTCCAATTATAAATTATTCTCAGAAACTACTGATAAATGTTTATGGTGTTTTTCCTTA